CTAGTCGTCCTCCCTGAGACATTTCATCCTGTGAATGATGAACTAGTATTGGACTTTATCGTCCTTCCTGAGAACATTCTCATCTGCTGGTGATGTATGACTATATTGTGGACTTTTATTCCGTAATCCCGGGAAATTCTACTCAACTCCGTTGACGGCCCATTGCAAAAAAAGTGTCTAAGTATTTGAAAAGTAGTATTGATTTGAGTAATAAACAATAAGATGTGTGTGCGTTGTTGTGTGATCGTGTTAGTAAGTTTCAAGGTTCATTTGTACGTTGTCGAGACTGCCCACTCGTACTTACTGAGCATTCACCCTCTAGTAAAAGATTAAAATGTAAACAAGAGTAGGGTAAAGACGGGCTGGACGGAGCCTAGTAGCTATCTCAACTTAAAATACAACCCTTTATACACTCCATTTACACCGAGAAGAACTCTAGCCCAACTGAGAGGGCTGGCGAACACACTGAACCTAGGGGAAAGTTGAAGTGTAGCGGACGCTGTTGTTGATTTGTGAGAAGGGTCCCTCAGGCTTAATCTGAAAGGGGAAACAAGTTAAAAGATCACCCAGGTGATACATAAGAGGCAGCGGCAGAGGACAAGGAGAAGAGCCACATTTAACACGAAATGGCTGGCAGGAGTTCTCTTAGGAAGCGGGACGACAAACAATCAGAGACAAGCGCACCACGGTCGGCGTTCGGCTCCCACCTGTAGAACCGTCAAAAGTGACAATATAACTTTGTTTTCTGAAAAACTTACTACTCAAATAATACATTTATCGGACCGTACATGACGAGCGTGCCGTGTTCAGGGTCATATCAGTACGTAGTGTCTCTACTTTAAAGAGTCCTCTCCTGCTGATGTTCAGGTGTATATCAGTATGTAGTGTCTCTACTTTAAAGAGTCCTCTCCTGCTGATGTTCAGGTGTATATCAGTATGTAGTGTCTCTACTTTAAAGAGTTCTCTCCTGCTGATGTTCAGGTGTATATCAGTATGTAGTGTCTCTACTTTAAAGAGTTCTCTCCTGCTGATGTTCAGGTGTTTATCAGTATGTAGTGTCTCTACTTTAAAGAGTTCTCTCCTGCTGATGTTCAGGTGTATATCAGTATGTGTCTATCAGGAGCAGTAAACAGAGAGCAGTACAGTTTAGTGTAATTGAAGATGAGTGATGAGTCGGATGACAGTTACATGCTGCAGGTCACATGACTTGTTTCCTGTCAGTCAGAGGGAAAGGTAAACAATACTGTGTTTTACATATTATCTAAAAGACGCCTGAATGCCTCCCAGGTCTCTCTGGAAAAAAACATTTAGGAAGACGTTCAGGGAATTTGTGAGTTCATTTTATTTTCAACTTAGCACTAAAATATTATTTCATTCGCATGATTGTATTTTAGTACAATTTCATTTCACGATCATTTTAATAAGGATATTCACATATTTGCAAATCTGTTGTATTGGTCTAACATTGTAAAAAATACCACAGTTCAGTATTTAATAAGTTTAATTTATCCAAATATGTTTATGTTGTCTTGTAAAGCAGCCAATAATATGGTTAAATTACTCTCTATAGGTTCATAAATGTCTCTCATGAACTGATCTGCTTTTTTTGCGTCCGTTTTCTAAACTCTGAGCAGTTTCAGCTGAAATAGGGTTTTATTTTGCTGCTGTTGGCAAGGTTTTATTTAACGATGTTTAAACATCCTGACAAGATTTACAGCGGCTGGATTTCCCTTCGTCTGCAGATCAGCTCATGCAGAGAAAACGTCCCATTTATCAGAGCTGCAGGAAAACAGCTGCAGAATCACGGAAGCATCAAAACACATCTGGAGCTCAGAGTTGTTTTATTATTTCCAAAAAATGCATTGCACGCTTTTACTTAAACTTCTAATGTTAATATACGTATATTTATTCTATTTAAATATATTTTCTTTATTATACATTTTAACTTTAACTTCTTTAGAAATATTTGTATTTTATTTTATCCTTTAAAGGTGGGGTATGTAATTTATTTCAGAAACACTTGTTTATATTCCATGGAATGCTCTTAACATCCCGACAATAAACAAATGTCATCTGTGGAAGCCGTGGCGCTGTAAAAAGCACGACCAATCATCTGAGCCGGCCCGGCTAAAGTAACTGGATGGCCTACCTGCCTGTCAGCCTTCCATCTGTGCACAAACTTATCTCGTGCCCTCATTGGTCATGTGTGGTTTCGTGTGTGTTGGAGGAGGGGCTCTGTAAGGAAGTCTGAAGGAAGGGGCAGATTTTTTCCGGTTGTGTACTTTCAAATTCCAGCGCACTCGAGCTGGTTTCTCCAAAATTACATACCCCACCTTTAATTGCACATTATTTATTTTTGGGTTACAACACATGTTCTATTTTTTTGCACGTCATTTTTTTTAAATGTATTTGTTTATGTACATATTCTTTTCAATTTCTTATTCATTGAATTTGATCCTTTTCTCACACATTTTGCTTATATAAATATTATGCCGTTTAATTTTTTTTTTTTTAAACCACATTTTTCCTTTGACTTCTTGTGTTTATTTAAAAAAAAATGTTTATTGTATTTTTTTCTAAAACACAGCAACCCAATTTCCACCCCCGATATTATTGCTGGCCAGGAAGCAGGACTTTTTCTTGGCCTAAAAGTCACATTTCCCAATCTGATAATATATTCCTGCTCCTTCCCCTGAACTGTGCTTGACTTGCTTCTTCTTCTGTGGTTAGTTTTGGTGGTTCTCCTTCGTGTAGCAGACATGAGAGTCTGTCTTCCCCTTTATATATAAAGGGGAAGCAGGAGCAGCCTCTTGATTCTCTTCTTCTCTGTTTCTGTTTGCAGAAAGCTGTGCTGAGACAAAGTGTTGACTGACCGGCAGACAGGAGCAAACACAAGGTGAGCGGAGCATGCTTTAAATGATACATAAATATATAGTATTATTAACAGCAAGATGTCACCTTTATCAGCATGTTCACACCACGTGTCAAACTCTCAGGAGGTATTTTGGTCGCTGACAGATAAGAAGAAGGCTTCATGGTGTACAGAGGAGGAGGGGAAAGTCTGTGGTGAAAAAAATAACGTCCTGCGTGTCTTCCTATATTCACTATTCCTTAACCTCAGTGGGAAACGTGACGTGGTTTGTAAAGAAGTGAAGGAGGATTCATCAGGACTCAGGAAAAGAGACTGCACTGACACTGGTGGTCTCATTATGATGAGAGGAGAGGGGTTATTAAGATTTATATCATACCATTTAGACCAGGGGGGTCAAACTCAAATACACAGTGGGCCAAAATTTAAAAATGTGTACTAGTCGAGGGCCGGACTGGTTTAATGTTTATTGCAAAACATATTGAAATGAACTTATTGAAATGAACTTATTGCACATGTTAAACCTGGAACTAACAAAGCTTAAATTATTGTCTATAAAAACAACATTAAACATTAAATAATCAGTTGCATTCATTTCTCATGGCTCTATCTGCAGCTTTTCCAGAGTCATTTCTTATGAGTACATTTTTCCACAGGCCAACAACAGCTTCAAAAAAACGATTTCCCTCAAAGAGAAAACCAAACATGCCCTGTTGTCTCAAGAAGGAAACATCCATTAAACTCAGTGTGCTGCTCTGTGATGCTAGTTCAGATACTTGGCATCTCATCTTGGGTGCAAGGTCATCAATGTTTGGGGTCAGGCTCTGAGCTGAGGAGACCCTCAGGATGGAGTGAAGGTGTGCGTGCAATATACCGGCGGGCAAGATCTAATAGTAATTAGAAATTATCCTGCGGGCCGAAATTGAATCCACTGAGGGCCTGATTTGGCCCCCGGGCCTTGGGTTTGACACATGTGATTTAGA